TGTTTTATAGAGCTAAGCTGATTTTAGAGTGAATAATTTTTAATAATGTCGGGAGGATAATAATGTTTTACAGTGTCAACGCACATGTTGGATAGGTTTTCCAGTTTTTAAACGTACGCGGTGAGTCATTATATAGTTGGAAATCTATCTGGTGCGTGCGTTGGCATTCTGTCAAACATTACTATCCTCCCAACATTATTATCTCTTTTAGTGCCGACTGAAAAAAAATGTACCTAAGCGTGTGGAACATCTAACATGGCATTTCTGAAGAGAAATTCAACCATTTATAACGTCTTATAAAATTATTTTTGAGACAGACTTTTCTCGCGACGCGGATAGTCTGGCAGCATCGTATGCGCAACGATATATCGTCGTTGGCACTTTTCGCAAGTGTTGCTAACAACGATATATCGTTGTTCGCCACTATAAGAGTTAAAAGATACTCATTAAAAGATCAATACTTCTTAACGAACAATAAAAAGAAAGTCTTTTATTAATTTCATTTATTTTTTTTGTGAATTTAACAAATACTTCTTCACTTGACATACATTCGCAGCTCTCACCTCAATCGAAACCTACTCCTCTTTTGCTGTCACATATCTTTAAAAAATTTAAGTACGTGATAGTTCAGACTCAAAACTTGATGAAATAGCACAACTACAAGAATGAATAAAAAGATACATTTTCATCTGATGGTTATGAGAAAAGACACGTAAAAGGCAAAAAATATGAAAATACATCAGATTTCCTGCGACATGGCTTTCGTTTGACTTTCATTTGCCTATTACTGTGTTTTAATAAGTTGCACTTTTGAGAAGTGTACCATTGAAATAGCAAACGCGTTTTCTCAGTGTCGCTTAGCGTCCCTCACTGGTGTCAGATACTTTGTATACCTGTCAGCGCGAAAAGAGAGGCACGGGGTGAGAGCCTCACGTTAAACAACGTGGAGTTTTTTGTTTCGTTGTCGAGATTTCATTTGGCCTCGCTGCAAATGGAATTTTATTTGAGCGCTCGGGAAAAGCGGCGACGGCGGCGGCGCAACGATTCAGTGAATCAATTTTCCCCTCGTTCCATAGACAATATCGACGAACCATTTGCAGCGTCGATGGTGTACAATTTATTGGAATTAATGCCGGGCGATAACAATCGAAGGGGTAATCGGATGAAAGAGCCGTGCATGGCATTTGTAGTGTTTTAAGGTCGCTCTCTCCATCTCTCCCTCTTCGCCTCCTGGTCATCCCTCGAATTTGAAGTTGATGGCTTCGCTAATGCGATTTAACGTATTGACGCATATTATTTATGTGTGCATCGACTTCATTAAGCACCGTTGCGCTAGTAAATTGATAGTTGCGCGCGCGACATGGAACGGTAATAATTCACACCCCCCGTCGGCCGTCGTTAGAATATTTCCCGTCGTAACGCGGTCTGGTAATGGAACACAAAAAAAAAGCCGAAAAAGAGAGAAACAAAGCACGGGAAACGGAATATGAGATAGGACGAAACGAGCGAATAAACAAAAATATTTATATAGACGTACAAAGTAATACGATTACAGGGGAATTAAAGGATCAGATTAAAGTCGAATGGCGGCGAAATTGCTCGCGTATGCACGCGTATGCCTTGCTGCAAATGCCGCGAGCTCGTGTACTTGTTGCATCAACGGTATGAAAAACAAAAAGAGAAATGTCGAAACCACGCGCGTGATTCACCGCACATGTGCGCGAGCGCGACGACGACTGATAGCCGCCGCCGGGTCGCTGCTCTCGGCCCGCCGTAATAATCCGCCAAGGATCTGGAAGAAAAAACACGGTCATTGTCACGGAACGCGAGGAGTCACCCTCGCGCGACCACGTTAACGACTTCCGCGCCGCGCCGTCGCTCAGGGGATGCCCCGACGTAGGGGGTGGCGAGAAAGAAAGAAAGAGAGAGAGAGAGAGAGAGAGAGACGGTGACGTCATCGCGGAAATAGAAATTAGGGAGTTCACGGGACGAATCAGAGGGATCGTGCGCGCGCGATGGTCTGTCTCCTAAACTACGGTCGTCCTTAAATCTTGGCGAGAACGACGCGACGGTTCACATAAAAGTTATTTATTGGAATGCAGTTAAACGTTCTCGTCGTTGAGAGAACGAACGGGAGCATTCGTGCGTGTGTGTGTATGTGTGTGTGTGTGTGAATGAATGACACACGAGAACATCAGAGCGAGCTCTAGCCGATCGCCAAAGAGAGAGAAGCGCGCGTGTGAGTTTTCGATTTATTATATCACCCGCGGCGTTCCATTGGACATTATTATCGATCGATGATGTAGGAGGCCGCGCGATGTCCCCTAAATCGATTGAAGCATATAGAGCGTCCATCGACGAGGACTCTGACGAACGTTACCTACGCCTGTGCTTTGTGCTTTATGCGCTATTAATCCGAGAGAGGTAGAGTAAGTCACTCGTACTGAAAGCCTTAAGCTCCCTCTTCCATTACATATTTCATCACCTGCTGTAGTGGACACCACTACTTGTTTATGCGAGATGCTGTTTGAATGAAAAATTATTCATCTCTGCAATCTCTGCTGCAATCATCCCTGATAGAGGGTAGAAATTTAATGCAGTTCTCTCAGGACCAGCGCTGGACGGTTGTGTTAACTTTTGTCCAGCAGCTGAAGAGCAAAGTTGTTTTCTCTGAACTAAAACTGAACGACAACAGAACAGAAAATGAACAGGGAGTTATTTAATTAATTAATGATCAAGTCTGCTGCTTGTAAAATGGACGAATTTCCTAATAGTATTCCATTTTTTGTGCATGCTATCAAATTAAAAGAATAATCAGAGCCATGTCGCAGGAAATCTGATGTATTTTCATATTTTTTGCCTTTTACGTGACGTTTCTCATAACCATCAGATGAAAATGTATCTTTTTATTCATTCTTGTAGTTGTGCTATTTCATCAAGTTTTAAGTCTGAACTATCGTGTACTTAAATTTTTTAAAGATATGTGACAGCAAAAGAGGAGTAGGTTTCGGTTGGGGTGAGAGCTGCGAATGTATGTCAAGTGAAGAAGTCAAGATTTTTTGTTAAATTCACAAAAAATCAATGAAATTAATAAAAGACTTCTTTTGTTTTTATTGTTCGTTAAGAAGTATTAAATAAAAACGAAACTTTTCTGTAAAAAGAATTGCATTTTCATAAAGTCCCCCGGAATTTGTACTATTTTAAGCCTCGCATTCGAGTTTAGCAGACCTAAAAATATAAGATTTAAAAATATTTCCCTTAGGCGCAAATTTTGGCGCTTTTACAGCATTGTTTCTTCCGAATGAACGAATCTTCGGGTTTCGTGCAAACTTCAACATTGGGATTCACAGTTTTGGGACAGCTTTTGCGAACGTAACTCGCAAATATCGCAGATAAAGCGTACATATTTATGCGCGGATGGCGAATTATTCGACGCGCGCGTCGGGGTTCCCTCCCCCCAAGTTCGCGGCGAGTTCTCATGAGCTCGCGAATAGCCGGCTTTCGCGGTCACAAACGACGACGCGCGATTCACCGTACCAATTAATGTTCGCGCCCGTAATTTGATATTCCGGGCGCGAGAGCCAATATTCCGCCGCGAAATAACAACTGGACCGGGCTTCGGAGCGCCGCGAACAACAGACTGGATTAATGTCGCGCCGTTCTCGCGGCAATTAATGCAGTTTCGTCGCCGGGTGGCCACGCGCGCTCTCCCGGTGTCTAATAATACGGAAACAATTAGTTAACGCGGCCGCACAATCGCGCGCACGCGGTTCGGATTTTATATATCGCGCGCGGGAGACATTCTCGTAAACACCGAACGAGCTGAATATAGCGCAAACGAGTGGAATATAAACGCGAAGCCGCGGTAGAATGTGCGCGCGATACGCTCGAGATATAGCCCGCGCATTTCATTAATCAACTCGCAGTCGAGTGCATTCCCGAGAAAACGATCGCCGGTCGCTCCCCCGTTTTATTTTCCCGCTGTGTTTGTCCTGCTTGCGCCGCTGCTTGCTCCTTTTTCTATCGGGACTTTTGTTTGGCCGCGAGATTATTACGCGAGGTAGGAAAAGCACGCGCGCGCGCGAGATGGAAATTTCTTCGGGTCGAAAACTTTGCCTCTAATTATTAATTAATTAGCTCGCTTGGTTCTCCTTCAAGTCTTTAGCTTCGACTCTTGCTTTATGTTATTCTCGCCCCACTCCCGTCTTAGGTTCTTACCTTTTATTTCGCTCCCTCGGGTATTGGATTTGCGTGCTTTTGCTTCTGTTGCTCTCCGCGATCAGAGATCCCCTTCCCTTTGATTTCATTAACCCTTTAGCGTCCCGTCGTCGCCCTGAGACAGCACGTCTTTGAATCGACACAAGTTAATCGATATTTTTTGTCGCCAAACTGTCAAATATTGTTGGCAACTTTGTCTTTCACGATTCCAGGCGGAATTTTAATTTTATCACTTAATTATAATAGTAAAAATTGATAAATTACCGGCACTCGTCGTCTCTCTACACTGAGGAAAAGACACTGAGGAAAAGACACTTGGAAATTTATTTGTATAATACAAAATTTATTTCCGTGATATAAAATATATTTCTGAGAAATAAAATTTGTTTCTGTGAAATAAATTTTTGTCCTACAAATAAATTTTTAAGTATTTTTTCTCAGTGTACTTCAACATTGACTATTTTATAAATAATCGCAAATTACTAATATTGCATTTATTTATTATAAAAGTGGACTATACAAAATATTCTCGTGCATTATTACGACGTATGAAAAGTAGAAAATTAATATAGTGTACACTGAAAATAATGCAGCGTATCAAAGGGTTGTTTCTCTGAAACAACATTTTGATTTCTCCAAAGTGGTTTATTGGAAAATTAGATATCATCTTTACATTACTAGAAACAATAATGAATAGAGAGTAGAGAAAAAAATTGTTCTTCAATAAAATTAATTCTGAATTGAAAAAGTTAATCGTGATTTTTCTTTGTTCTCTGTTACAGCGGGTTCGGCGAGATTCCTCGCGCTCCTTTGTCGCAGTGTGCAGCTAGACGATCGGCGAACGAAGTCCGCGGCTATCCTGGCGGACGTCAACGACCTTTCGGTGAGTCAAGAACACTGAATATTCCTAAGTAGTATATAGGACGCTCGAAACATTCGGAATCACCAGGGAGAAATATTTTATTCTTTCGCCGGGACGGATTAACAATTAACAATTCATGCTCACGCTCGTGAAAGCCGGAACGACAACCGATAACGACAATTTGGCTCGCAATTTTTTTTTTTCACAGAAAACGAGTGCCATTTTTCTTTTTTTCATCTTTTTATTTATGAAACTGCGCAACACTTCGCGCGCATTTATCTTTGATACTGCCTCGATATCGACTGGTACTCTCTCGCCGTGTGTATTTTTTAAAAGAATCGCGTTTTCGCGGGGATAGGTGTCGAATCGTGTCGACGCCGCTCTTCGCATGTCGAAGCGCTCTTTATTCCTCGTGAGATCATCGCGCCCGAGAAATGGGGACTCCATTTTATTGTCACTTAGAAATTGTCAAGAAAAATATTAATATATTATATATATTTTTGAAGTAAGACTTAAAGAATAGTTTGACGGCTTTCTCGTTTCTCTCGAAGTTCCGAACAGGTCGCTTTTTTGCGACCTCTCAAGCCGGAATACTCCTTTAAATGGCGGAAAACGCACAAAATGTCACTTGTAGATTCTAAAGAGGCGTTAAATAGAAGAGATCGAAGAGCTCGAGGATCAAAATTTCGTCTTGGGTGAATGCGAAAATTTCAACGAAAAAAAAATATCAAATTTAATTCCCGCGCGCGCAAGTTAACACAACAGCTTATAAGTGGTAACTAATGGCGGCGTTACGGCTACAGATGGAAAATCTGTGCGCGCTCATTTTCACTCTCCCCTCGCTCCCTTCATCATCCTCTCCGCTAGTTGTTGCTGTTTCCCGGCGGTGGACACGCAGACGTCGATTCGTGAAAAGCGGGCGAAACATCTGGCCGTCCCCGCGAGAGGAAATCTAATTTCTAAGCTCGCGCGCTAATTCCTCCTTTTGTAATTCGATAAAAATCGACGGGCCACGAGCCGACCCCCCTCGTCCCCTCTGCCACGCCCTCCTGCCATGACTCGGCCGGTTTTCCGCGCTGTGTCAGACAGAGGAAAAAAAGAGGGAGAGAGAAAGAAAGCCCCGACGATAACGTTCTCCGGTCCCTTTTCCGCGTTGATTGGAAATGTTTGTCTCCGTGTGCGCGCGCGCGAATCGATCTATGATCCAGACCTCTTCTCTCCTCTCTCTTCTTCTCTCTTCTCTTCTCTTTCTCTGCTCTTCTTCCCCACGTGACTCGCCACCCGGGATTTTCTCGTAGCGACTGCCTCCACTCGCGTTTTCCCGACTCCGAAAAGCTCTTTCCTCTCGAGAACGCTTCGATCAGTCGTATAAGGAAGCTCGCCAATTCGTTTTCTCTCTCTTCTTCGCTCTTTCCTTTTCCTTTCGCGGCGCCGGGTTTATTGGGAGTTTCTGTTGAAAGACCGAGTCCGTAGCGGGGAGGGCGAGAGAATGAGGGAAGGAGGGAGAAAGGGAGGGAGAGAATGAGGCGAGACGGAGGCGGAAAAGGGCAGAAAGATTACGGATGTTTGAACTTATTTGTGTGTGGGGCGAGAGAGAGAGAGAGAGAGAGAGAGAGAACCCGCGGGCGTGCGACCAATCGAAATGACCGTCTCCGACTCCGTCGTTTTCGTTCACGTTGGACGTCGTCTTGCAAGAGTTCCTCCGCACCCTGGGAGTTTCGTGAAGTATGAATCTTTCCTTCAGCGCGGCCGCGGCCTCGGAATGGCGGGTGAGTGCCGGCTATCGCTGATGGCCATTCGGAAAAATTCTTTTCCCATCTGTAAGAAATACGCGGGCTCGGGTGGGAATCGATTTGATCGGATGAGAGAGAGAGGGTGTAGAAGTGAGCTGGAGAGCGATATAGCCGCGTACATTTTCCTCATACATATCCTCTGCTCCCTTTAGTGCGCGCACGCAATATTAATAAACGCAAATATTTTCACGGCCGATTCGCAGGAGATTGATAAAACGCCAGCGAGGGGATCGATATCGCGTTTGCACTCGGATATACACACGTTGTCTCAACTAACGTGCGGCGTTTACGCCCCAAGGAAAATTTGCAGGAAAAATCTGGCCGCTAACTAGAAACTGGCACTGGTCTTTACTAGCTGGGAGTTATTAGACAATAACTAGAAACTGGCCAGGAACAAGGCAATCAAAAATAGGAAGTATGCAGTTTCTCTGCGTATTGGAAATATTGGCTAATTCTTCCTAGTCAGTTTCTGGTGTAAAACCAGGCAAAAAAAAATAGTAATTTAATATAAAGCTACAACTGTACAAATAATGAGTGAATTTACACGCGAGAAAATTTTATTTTCCTAACGACGAATTTCACATTATTCTTATATTGAAATATATTTTACAATATGAGGGGAATTGAGCTATGAAAACTATTTAAAGAATTTTGTGAAAAGACAAATTTGTAGTTAGAAAAACTGGCTAGAAGACGGCCAGAAACTAACTATTTTTACTGTTCACGCTGAGAGAAAAGAATGGTTGATTTAACTAAAATTATACTGAGAAAAAAAACTTATGAAAATTTACTTATATAAAATGTATTTCACAGGAATGAACTTTATTACACAGAAATAAATTTTATATATCACACATAAATTCTCAAGTATTTAAATAAATATTCTCAAATTTCCTCAAGTATTTTAATAAATTTTATATATCACACATAATTCTCAAGTATTTTTTCTCAGTGTATAAGTATTTTTCATCCTATTCATATTTTTGTGGTAAAATGGTAGCAGCAACAATGATATAAAGCTACTATCACTAACAGTACAATAGAATTCGATAAAAAAAGGTTTTTTTGACCGTAATTTATAGTGATCATAAATACCTTTCTCTTGGTGCAACAAGCGCAGTCTAAACTGGCCAGAAACCAGCCAGTAAATTCCTGGCCAGTTACTGGCTGGGGAAGAGGTCGCTCTTTCTACTCGGGGTGATCGCGATCTCGCGCACGATCACCCACGGGCGACACATTCGATTGTGGGGCTGGTTTACACTGTGCGATGAAATATTCACGCGATCGCCGAGGAAGGGATTTAGTGGGCGCGCGCGCGCGCGTGGAAAGTAACGCGTCCGATTAATTATTATCGGGGTCATTACCGGGCGCAAACGAAAGCGCCGGCAAATTTCAATAGCCGCCGCCCGTGGCGGTTACATAACGAGGGCAGGAGCGTAATCCCGCCGGCTAATTATCATAACGTCTCCCCATCCCCTCCCTCCCTCCTCCTGACCCCTCTTATGATAAACGTAACGTTTGCACGCTTTTTCATTACGGCGTATACAGTGTGTGTGTATATATTAACGATGCTGTTGGTACGCGCCGTCGGTGGCGTCGTGCCGCGTCGCCGTTACCGTAAAAATACAGCGCGTGGCGTTTCGGTAATGGCGCGTTACCGTAATACGCGCGGCGGAAAACGCGTCGCGATATTATTATGACGAACGCGCCCTCCAAACGGGGTGAGCATGCACTCCCTGCGAGATCTTTTCGAGACCCCGGAAGTGCAGCGCGTTAAGGAAGCTCCCGCGACGATCATCGAGAATATCCCCGGGATATTTATTGTCGCGGAGATACTTTGGGAGTATTTCGGTCTGTTGCTAGCTCGCTCGTTACACCGTCACCGTCGCATCGGCGTCCATTATGAGAGTCGGGGCTATCCGCTTGGAAAATCTCGCGGGTCCTTACCGTCGCGAATATTTACGTCGCGGGAAATGGACAGAAAGAGAGAGGAAGGGGGCCACTGAGGTTTAACCAAAAAGAGAAAAATGCAACACGTGTGAAGAGATTGTCACATATTCCAAGTTGGAATGATACACACAAAGAGATAAATACTTGAATATCTCTCTGTGGGATGCCAGTTTATTTTCGTGAAATTTTATCTTTTATGTCGTAAGTAAATATTTTTCAAATATTTTTCTCAGGGCACGTTGGAGAGAATATCTGAAAAACAAATATATTTATTCGATGGATACTAATATAACATTGAAAGTTATAGAAAGAAATAAAATAAACAATTATTTTCATGAAAAGTGATGTTTTTGAGAGAATGTATATTTCCTCGCTTGAAAACAATTTTTCTCAATGCAGACACGTATAATGTGCCCTGGTAGTCGCGACTTTTCAATTTATACTGATATGTTCTCTGAGCAATTTAGAATTAACGATTTCTCTGCGAGGAAACAATCCCAAATTGGTGAGACACCAATCTAGTTTCAGATATAAATAATTCAGTATATATTAACTCTAAATTGCTCAGAGAACGTGTCGGTATAAATGAAAGTCGCGAGAATATCCTGACTATTAATACAAGTTATTGGATTAAGTGTGTTATTTGTACCTATCGAATATATTTTCATGTTTTCGATATTTGTTCTCTCTCAGTGTAGAAAGGTTTGGATGTAATTGAAATAAAATGAAATGAAATTAGCTCTGAGACTAAATTAAAATCGAAGCAGTGATGTTTCGCTGCTATTTGTTTTCTCACGAACTGCTTCCTTATTCTTGGGGATGAAGTCGCGAGAAAACCGCACTTTTCCTGCGCGAAAGCGAGACCATCTGTGCCCTGTCGGTGTATACAGTCGGGGGACAGTAGTCACTCGTTACGTGGGCGTTTGTCATCGCTGTCTTCGGGCGATCACGCTGTCGATATGTTTCTCGATGCATCATGTCCATCGAAGGCCGCTCGCGCACTTATTGGCGTGTCACAAGCGAAATAAAACCTTTGTCCCTCTCTCTATGTTTTATGTGCTTTATGAAATCTCGAGTGAGTGAGCGAGTGGGGTCGTTTATCGTCGTCCTGGGACAGCGTGGAGCGAGTGAGAAAGACAGAGAGAGATAAAGAGGCGGGGAGAGAGTGTCCTGGGACGAGAAGTCAAACATGAATTCACGGCGTCATAAAGAAGACGCGGCGGTAAAAGGAAACGTTAAAGCGGCGCGATGTGACGCGAAGTTGCGCGCGCGATCAGT